TATTTTTATGATTTTTCAGTAAAAAGTTGAAAATTTTTGACTTTATTTATAGTTTTTTGGATTTATTTAAATTTTAAAATTCCTAATTTTCTATTAATTCGGCATGACAGCTGACTGAATCATTGGACGAATCGAATTCCACGTCGTGGGTTCTGATTCATGGGGCTTTAAGCATGGTAGCTTGCTTGGCCTGCGGTTTAAGTCTTTCACACAGATGTTTCTGAGGTCTAACTTAATCCCAACCATCCATTTTAGATACACAAAAATGGACGGTATTGGTTCATCATTCCCATGGGACGATTAATCGACAGTTGTTCATGTTTAAAACCCAAGATCTCCCTGGATTTTGAACTAAACCTCACAATTTTTGTTCTTAATGCTTCATCGTATTTAGGAGAACACATCTATACAACAAGTTATGGTTGATTTAAATATTTCTTTCACAAAGGTCCAAACCGAACCTAAAATTAGGGTTTGCGACACATATCTGGTCCCAAGTGTTGTGGCTTCAGCTAGGTTTGATGGAAACGTTTGCTTGGTCCTGGTGAAGCTCATGTTTGATCCAATTTGAAGTGACATAGAGTTTGGCATAGTCTTGCAGAAATGGGTTCACAATTTCCGCTTGGAGTGGGTTGGAGCTTGCGGAAAGAGAAAATTTCAATTGGGGTCTTCCTCGTGGGGTTCAATGATGGTGTTGGGATAGTTTAATTGAAGTTTTGAAGAGTTTTAAGCTAACCTAAAATTTTTTTCTATTTTGGGGTAAGAAATTGGAGCTCTCTAAGGGATTACAAAAGCTGAAATGGTGGGGGATTAGTTGCTCAGGGGGTGGGGAACAACTTTTGTGTTGAATTTTTTGAGGTTTAAGGTCTATAATTATGTTCCACTTCTTATGGGGAGCTCTCGGGATAGCCTATTTATAACCATGGACAAGCCATGGCTGAGCTTTAATTCAATTGAAGGAAGATGGAGTTAGCTCAAGGAAGATCAAATTTTGATTGAGCATCTTTGTGTTTAGCATTTCAATGGTGAGCTTATTATGAGCTAAAGTATAGTGAAGAGAATGGTTTGATCAAGGCTTTCTTTTTAATGGACGGGGAGTGAGGTGGATAAGGATCTCATGTGAGCTAGATTATCCTCCCTTCCACCTAACCTAACAAGTCATCCAATGCCTTTGTGATGAAATGACACCTCCTCCTCCCTTTATGATGATTTTATTACTTGGACAAAAATGGTGTTTTGTTGCATTTAATGGGTTTTCCATAGGTCTTGAGTATGCCATGATGGGTCTCATAGGTCATGGGTGACCCATTAACAATCCTCCATGGGTTGGATTTAAGTTTGAAAGTCATTCATGGGTATAGATGTCATATATGATGTCATAAATTTGATCACAATTTAGGGTTCAATTTTATTCATAATTTCATTTTAAATTAGTTAAGTAATTAATTAAAAAAATTAAATTATGTCAAGAACCAATAGATTGGTTAAGATGAGTTTAAGGTTGACTATTTGACTAATTTTGATTAATTATATCCAAGGTTGACCTTCTTGACCAAGTTTGACCAATCAGATGTCATGGTTGACCAATTGACCTATTTTGGCTAATTGGTCTCAGGGTTGACCAAATGATCCATTTTGACCAATTTGGTGTTAGGGTTGACCAAATGGTTAATGTGATGACCATTGGGTCCATGGTTGACCAAATGGTCAATGTGAATACCATAATGAGGGGACCATTGGGTCAAGGGGACCAAATGGTCAATGTGATGGCCATTGGCTCCAGGGTAGACCAAATAAGGGTTTGTTATCACAGATCTGATCAAATTGGGATGTCAACATGTTCTGAACCCAAAGAGGGTTTATTGGGGTTTAATCCAATTTCTAGGGTTTTGGGAACCCTAGATCCGTTCAAAGGGGTCAATGTTGGTAGTCCCCCTTCCTAGAATGGACTTAGTCTTCATGGTTATCATTAGGTCTTTAAAAAGGTGTCTTGGGATCTTGAGCCAGTGTTGGTGACTCAAGACATGTTATGTCTATTTCCAAGTTTATATATAATTCTAAATTTTATTGGCCAAAGACTGATCGGGGTGAATTAATATGGAGCAAATATATTTCACTTTCAATGTCATTCTTTGCCTGGAAACTATTTAGAAGATTCTTACCTACTTATGATATTTCTAAATTGAAAGGATTAAGAGGGCCTTCTAGATGTCATTTATGTCATATAGATGAGGAACCGATTAATCATTTATTCCTAATTGGGGGGATTATCCAGAAATTATAATGGTCATTGCTTATGGGTATTTTAGCACCTGCTTTCTCTTCTTCAGCTCTTGAAGCTAAAACTGTTGCTGTCTATTGGGGATTGAAAATTTTTTCTCTTTGTAAATATCAGATTCTTCACATAGAGATGGATTAACTTTAGCTAATTTGGATTATTCTAAGGGATATTTCTGCTCCATGGCAATTATCATCTTCTTTTCATATTGTGTGGAGCCATACTTATAGAGAAGGTAGTAAACCTGCAAATTGGTTGGCAAAAGAAGCTCTCCAATCTTTTGAGGTCATTTGTAGTTCTTCAGTTTCTACTAGTTTGAATGTGTTGATACAAGGAGATAGTCTGAGTATTCCTCATGTTAGATGTAAAGAACTCCAAATTCTTTTTAATATAGTTTATTTTTAATATACTGGCTGAAGAGGAACTCAGAAGTGGTGGTTTGTGGTGGTTACCTTCCTGCAGGTTCATATCTCAGGTGGTAGTGGAGGGCTCTTGTGTTTGTCATAGGAGTTACTATTTCATTGAGTTTTTCTTTGGCTGCTCTCTTAGCTGTGGGGATTTCTTTCCCATTTCCTTCCTGTTTGGGGCCTAGTAGTGGAAGGCAGACTGTATTTTGGTTTCTTTGAAGTTTGTTTAGGTTTGCTGGTGTCTTTCTGGTGGTTTCCACTGGTTGGAGACCCCTGGAGACTGCACTGTCTTCTCTGACTGTTGTTGGGTGGGGAATCTCCTTTTATATGGTGGTAGTTTTACAATGACTACACCTATTAATGTATCTACTGATTCTCAATGGACCAAAGCAACATATGCTGGGGTTGTTGGAAAAACTACTGAAGTTCTACAAGATTTTGACCACTTGGTATTCCCTCAAAAATTTCATGACACCGCTGCAGGGAAAGGATGTAGTCCTTGCATTCACCCACTTGGATCTAAGGAGGGGGAAACTACAGTGTTCTTCACAAACAGAGATTTAACCTCTCTTAAAGAGGAAGTAAGATTTACCTTAGTGGGAAAATTTTAGTTGGGCCACCCCAAAATGGAGCTGGTTAGAAATTTTCTTGAATCTCTAAAATTTATTAGAAATTGGAAGATAGGGCTAATGGATGGGAGGCACCTTCTGATCCAGTTAGTTGTGGAGGAAGATTACGACAGACTCTTTGTCAAGCAATCAGTAATTATAGATGGAGCTACCATGAAGATTGTAAAGTGGACTCCTGACTTTGATCCAAGTAAAGAGCCACCTGTGGTTCCTCTTTGGTATAAGTTGTCAGGCCTTCCACTTCCTTTCTTCAAGTTGAATGCCTTATTCAACATAGGAAGAGCTTTGGGCACACCTTTGAAAGTGGATGCCCCTACAGATAATAAAGCTAGGCCAGCACTGGCTAGAATACAAGTGGAGAGAGATATTACCCTCCCTGAGCTGAAGCAAATATGGATTGGCTCAGACACTGAAGGATTTTGGCAAGATATTGTCCCTGAACAAAAACCCTACTAACCCTACTATTCCTACTATTGTCAGCATTGCAAAATGTTTGGCCATACAGTGGAAAAGTGCTACAGATTACATCTACCCCCTAAAAGAAATACTGGTAGGGCCCGTAGGGAAACAGGAAATACCTCATTGAAAGTCATTGTGAACATTGCTAAAGAAACACATCTGAACAATAGGAAAGAAACCACTCAAAGGACTGAGGGATCACTCCCAACAATCATTGTAAACTCTTCATCAGCTGATCCTTTAGGTGAGCTATCAGATTCCCCTCCAAACAGAATCACAGTGAACTCTTCAATCAAAACAGTAAGAAAGGAAATTAATGAAATTATAATGATCACTCCTTCACCTCCCCTTCAAGAGGAAAGTCAGACAGACACTCATGGCAAGGCTCCTAAGGAACATGTAATCACTGGTCTTAAACAAGCAATTGAAGAAGATTGGCAGGTTCAAACAGCCAAAAGAAAAAGCAAACAAGTAACAGAAGTGCAGAAATTACAACAAGGAGTCAGCTTAATGCAGGCAGAGAGTAAAACCAGAATAAAGTTTGGTTCTCCCAATCATCACAGAGGTAGAACCAAATCAAGATCACAGCAATCCCTCCAAATTCACCCATCAAATGATTAATATCCTTTACTGGAATATTAGGGGAATAGCCAAACCCCTCTCTCTTAAATGAGTTTTACATTTAAATTATAAATATAAACTTTGGTGCATAGTTATTCTTGAACCTATGGCTCACAAGAACTATCAAAAGCTAATCAAAAAGTTTCCTGGTTTCAATAATTTTGCCAATACCAATAATAAAATCTGGATTTTATGTAGACAAAATCTGGATTTTCTGTAGAATGGAAATCAGATGGAACATACTAGTTAACCATCAACAATTTGTTCATTTCAATTTTAATATCAATGGCCATTTGGGATATGCTACCTTCATTTATGCAGGTTGTACAAAGGATGATAGAAAAGTGCTTTGGAATTGCTTGTTGAATATCAGCCAGCAGATGGATTCCCCTTGGATTGTAGGGGGAGACTTTAACTGCATTACTTCTTTTGCTGAAAAAACTGGGGGTAGAGCTCCTAGCCAAGCCAAAATGAACACCTTAGCCAAAATAAACACCTTTAATGATAATATTCACTGTGTTGGAATGTTTGATTTGGGTTTTAAGGGACCTGCATTTACTTGGAAGAGGGGTAAATTTTGGGAAAGACTTGATAAAGTCTTGGTCAATGATAGCTGGTATAACCATTTCTGACCACAGACCAACCCTTATTAGCATTACTTCCTCTGATAATACATCTTCCCCTCCCCCTTTCAGATATCTAAATATGTGGTCTTCCCATCCTTCCTACAACTCCTACATTGCTGACCTTTGGAATGGAATTTCCCATACTGACCCATTCATTAAACACAGTTTGTTGGAAATTAAAATTGTCAAAGCCCATAGGAAATGGAGTTGGGGTGCATTTGGAAATGTCCTCACTAAAGTTCAAGAGCTAGAAGAGGAAGTAACAAGAATGGAGCAAGATGAACAAGAAGGAATGGTTGAGGAAAAGGAACTTCTTACTGCCCAAAACAAACTTCTTACTGCTATTGACTTTTAAGATTAATTTCTTAAACAGAAAGCTGCTATTAATATCTTCACTGATGGGGACAGAAACACCAAATTTTACCATTCTGATATCAAATACAAAAGGAAATGTAATACTATATCTGCTATTGAAAATGTTGAGGGGATGTGGCTACATGAGAATGCTGAAATAGCTAATGATGCAGTAAGTTGTTTTAAAAACCTACTGAATCAAGCCAATAATCACAGAATCCCTATTCATCCAAATTATTTCTATGCTGAGCTGAATTATACAGTAAATCTAAAACTTACTGAAATTCCAGATGAAGAGGAGATTTGGAAGGCTATAAATTCTATAAATAGCAACAAAGCAGCTCACCCTGATGGTTTCACTGCTGAGTTCTATAAAAAGTCTTGGGATATTATTAAGCCTGAGGTTATAGCTGTTGTGGCTAGTTTTTTTCCAAGGAAATAATCTCCCACATTATTTCAGTGCCTCTACTTTTGTGCCGATCCCCAAATCAGATATGCAAAATAACTGGAATCACTTCAAACCTATTTTTTCTAGCTACTGTTATCAGTAAAGCAATCAGCAAAATTATTGTCAATAGGCTTCAGCCTCATCTTGATCATATAATAAAACCCAATCAAACTACCTTTGTGAAGGGGATATCAATCATTGACAATACTCTTTTGGCACAGGAACTGATACATGATCTGAATAAGATCTGCAGAGGTGGTAATTTGATCTACAAACTAGATTTGAGAAAGGCTTATGACACTATCAGCTGGGGATTCATTATGGATGTTCTCACTGCAAAAGAATTTCATATAGAATTCTTTCAACTTATCCATAGATGGCTACACAATAATAACCATTCCATACTCATAAATGGTAAAGGTTTGGAGTCCTTCACTATAACCAGAGGTTTGAAGCAAGAGGATCCCTTATCCCCCACCATTTTCATCCTTGCTATTGATTATTTATCGAGAATTTTGGATGAATCTCTACTAAACCAAAGCTACACTATTTACCATCATAGATCTAATATAGCCATTTCTCACTTACTTTATGTTGATGACATCATGGTATTCTCCAGAGCTCACAACAATGTAGTGAGGAAAGTATATCAGATTCTTCAAAAGTTTCAAATACACTCTGGGATGTGTTTCAATCCTGAGAAGTGCCTCCTGATTTTTAATAAATAAGAATCTCCAAATTACAAACAATGGGCCTCAAATTATACTGGCTTCTCCAACTCCCAGCTCCTTGTCAAGTACTTAGGTGTCATGCTACTCACTGGTAGAACAAGAAAAATACAATTTGAGGAAGTCATAAATAAGATCACTTCTTATCTTAATGGGTGGACCCAATCTTTTCTATCTAATGGGGGTAGAATTACACTGTTGAAAAGCATTCTAACCACTTTTCCCTCTTATATCTTGCAGATGAAAAATATAAGGAAAAGCACCCAAATCAATTAGAAAGAACTTTTAACAGGTTCCTGTGGTCAAGACAAAGGCAGCAAATGCATTGGCCATCTTGGAAAAAGGTGGCTAAAACCCAGATGGCAGGAGGCATTGGCTTTAAGGGTCATAACCAACTCTTTAAAATCAACTAATGTAAGCTATGGATTAAGTTTAGAGCCCAGACTTCTTTGTGGGCTAATTTCATGAGAGGCAAATATTGTAGAGACCAGCATCCCACACTTGTTGAAAGAAAAACTGGGGATTCCAAAATCTGGGGGAAGATGCTGAATATAAGACAAACTACTAAAAATCTGTTCATTTGGGATTTGGTCAAGGGGGATATAAGTTTTTGGCTTGACAATTGGTGCCCTAAAGATTGGTTGTCCCCTATCAGTAATGTCCCTAACAGGGAACCCAAAGTTGTTGATTGCTGGGTAGATGAAGACTAGTCTTTACTTAAGCTGCAAATATTCTCCAAGCCAACTCAGTCACAAAAAATGCTAATATTAAAATTGACAGAAGCAAAACTGATAAAATTGTTTGGCAAGCCTTTTCTAACCTAAGTATCACCAAAGCTATTTACTCCAAAATTTTCAGCTGGCAGCAAATTTCTTGGGTATCATTTAGAACAATTATCTATCCCCTTCCATGTCATTTTTTTGCTGGAGGGCATTTCATAAATTACTTCCTACTGAAGATATTCTTAAACTTAAAGGATTAAGGGGCCCTTCTAAATGCAGGCTTTATCTATATGAGGAGGAATCACTGTCTCATCTCTTTTTTGAATGCAATTTTGTCCAACTTGTATGGCACCAGCTGCTGTCACACCTGAATATTGATAATGAACTCTTCACTTGGGACAAACTTACCACCTGCTGGCAGACATGGCAAAGGAGGAATTATGCTTCTATACCCCTAATTGTTGCTTGGTTCATTTGGATGGAGAGAAACAAGGCTAAGTTTGAAGATTGCATACCAAAAATTGAAAAGATTGTTAGAAACAAATTATCTTATGTACACAAGATGAAAAAATTCAAAAGATTCCCCAATATTTCCAACTCTTACTCTTGGGAACAGCCTGACTATATTCAAGTCTATAGGGTTTACTGGAAACCACCAGAACATAATACTGTTAAGATAAATATAGATAGAAGCTTTAATAATTAAGGAGTAGGTGTGGGGGGTGTCTACAGAAATCACTTGGGAAAATGCTTATTACACTTTTATACTCCTGTTATGGTTGTTGATGCACTTGAAACAGAACTAGTTGTTGTATATTGGGCCCTAAAGATTGCCAAAATGACTAGCTGGTATAATTTATGGTTAGAAGTGGATTCTAAAGCAGTGATTAATACGTTGAATTATGAGGAGCAGGTACCCTGGCATCTTACATATCAGATAAAAAAAATCAGAGATCTAACCTCAAGGTATTCTACACTTTCATATATAGGGAGGGAAACTAGCCTGCCAATTGGCTAGCAAAAAAAGGTTATAACTCAAAGGATTTCTCTATTGTTGTTACCCCTCCCCATACCCTTCAGTTTTTATTACAGGGAGATATGATAGATGTCCCGCATTTTAGAATTACTAATCAAGATTAATGGAGATAACTTTGTTTCAGTTGATGTTCCAACTCCCCCTCTATTCTAGTGTTGCTCCCCCTTTGTTGCTTGGGGGTTTTTTATTGGGCTTTACTTTGCTGCCTTAAAAGGCAATTGTTGTTTTTTGGTTATTTTTTGGGAGGACTGTTTGATTCCTGTATTAAATCAACATGTTTTCCAGTTGATCTTATTTTTGTAACCTCCTCATTAGTCTAACATGTAGGGAGACAATAGAATCTCCTTAAACCAATATATATATATATATATATATCAACTAAAAATGTATCTATAAGATGGGGCTGGCGGCTGACCCTAGTTTTGCTCTGCTAGGGTTTGGGAGGTGATGGCCCTGCTTGGTGAGGCTAGTGAGGCTGGTCAGCTGTGGGAAGAGTCTGCTCCCCTTTCAAGAAGTGCTTTTGCCATGCTTGGTGAGGCTGGTAAGCTGTGGGAAGAAGTCAGCTCTCCTTTCAAGAAGTGCTTTGCTTTGATTTGGCTGGTTTCTTGATTTCTTTGTTGCTGCTTTTCTTTGGAGGCCTTTTCTGTTCTGTTACTGTTCCATTGCTGATGACTAAGTTGAGAAGACCTGCATCTACATTTCTGTTCTTTTGTGGCTGGAACACCTGGTAGGGTGTTGCTGCTGGTGTCTATGGCCACCCCTATAGATCTGGAGACCAATCTGCAATGGACCAAAGCTACTTATGCAGGGGCTGTGGGAAAGTCTTCTTTTTCCATGTTGGACCCTGATTTTTTAGTTTTCCATCAAGATTTCCACAATACTGCTGCTGGAAGGGGTTCTGCCTCTTGCATACATCCAGTGGGCTCTAAGGATGGAGAACCAGCTGCTATCTTTACAGAACAAGACCTTGATGAACTAAACTTGGAAGTCAGGTTCACACTGATTGGAAAGTTCAGCCTGGGGCACCCAAAAATGGAGCTTGTGAGGAATTATTTTGAATCTCTGAATATAGCTGACTGGAAACTGGGTTTATTGGATGGCAGACACCTCATCATCCAGCTGACTAAGGAGGAAGATTATGCTAGATTATTTGCCAAACAATCAATAATCATTGCAGGAGCTGAAATGAAAATCCTAAAATGGACCCCTGAGTATGACCCTTCTCAGGAGCCCCCCACTATGCCTATTTGGTTTAAATTACCAAAATTGTCTTTGCACCTCTTTAAACTCAATGCTTTATTCAACATTGAAGGTGGATGCTGCTACATACAATAAAGCAAGGCCAACCATTGCCAAAATTTTGGTGGAGAGGGATGTAACTCTACCTGATGTCAAAAAGATCTGGATTGGAGACTCATTGAAGGGGTTTTGGCAAGATGTTGTCACGAAGCAAAGACCCCATTACTGTTCTCATTTCAAGATGTTTGGCCATACCAGGGAGAAATGTCACAGGCTTCGCCCACCTAACAGAAAGAAAACAACTGAACACACTCATCAACTGAGAGAGAACAGCAAAGAAGATGATCTTCATAACCCCAGAGAGGATGGGATTGTTAACACAAACATCCCAACCTTAAATCAAAGCACTCCCCAGGCTCAGCCAGTGGTGTCCCCTCTGATAAGAGAGGTGACACAGTGAGTGAGATTGTGAAGACAGGAAACATTGAGATTGTGGCTACTTCAGTGAAAGACACCCCAAAGGTTTCAACAAAGGCAACAGAGAACACAAGGAACCAGGAGGCTAGAGAGGAGGTGGCACCCCCTACAGATGACATAATTATAGAACAAAACAAAGAATTGGATTCAGAATGGCAGATTCAAAAAACCAGGAAGAAAAGAAGCTCTAAACAAGAAGAACAGAAAAAAGGAAAGGAAAAGGAATTAGCTT